CTATCTATCTATCTATCTATCTATCTATCTATCTATCTATCTATCTATCTATCTATCTATCTATTCCCTCTAACTACCTTAATACTGAGAAAGGTCTTATGAGTTACAAATATCATCTTTCCATGTAGGAATGTAAATAGTTCAATTTTTAATAAGTCCCTTATGATTTCTCTTTCCTGTTTACCTTTTCAAGCTTCTCTGGAGTCTTGTATTTGAAAGTTAAATTTTCTATTCAACTCCAGTCTTTTCATCAAGAATGCTTGAAATTCCTCTATTTCATTGAATGTCTATTTTTTCCCCTGAAAGATTGTACTCACTTTTGCTGGGTAGGTGATTCTTGGTTTTAATCCTAGCTCCTTTGACCTCTGGAATATCATATTTCAAGCCTTTAATGTGGAAACTGCTAAATCTTGTATTATCCTGATTGTGTTTCCACAATACTTGAATTGTTTCTTTCTGGCTGCTTGCAATATTTTCTCCTTGAACTGGGGACTCTGGAATTTGGCTATAGTATTCCTAGGATTCCTTTGAGATTGCTTTGGGAATCTCTTTCAGGAGGTGATTTGTGGATTCTTCCAATTTCTATTTTATCCTCTTGTTCTAGAATATCAGGGCAGTTTTCCTTGATAATTTCTTGAAAGATGATGTCTAAGCTCTTTTTGATCATGGCTTTCAGGTAGTCCAATAATTCCTAAATTATCTCTCCCAAATCTATGTTTTCCATGTCAGTTATTTTTGTGATGTGATATTTCATGTTTTCTTCTGTTTTTTCATGCTTTTGATTCTATTTTATTGTTTCTTGATATCTCATGGAGTCATTAGCTTCCACTCACCCAATTCTAATTTTTAAGGAATTATTTTTCTTCAATGAGATTTTTTTTTAGGCAATTGGGGTTAAGTGACTTGCCCAGGATCACACAGCTAGTAAATGTCAAGTGTTCGGTCTGAGGCCGGATTTGAACTGAGGTTCTCCTGACTTTAGGGCCGGTGCTCTATCCACTGCACCAACTAGATGCCCCCAATGAGATTTTTTTAAAACCTCTTTTCCCATTTGGCCAATTCTTCTTTTTAAGGAGTTTTTTTTTTTTTCAGTGAATTTTTATACCTCCTTTCTCATTTGATTTTTAAGGAATTCTTCTCTTCAATGGATTTTTGTGCCTCTTTGACCATCTGGTCAATTCTGTTTTTGGTTTTTTTTTTTTTCAGGTGTTATTTTCTTTAGCATTTTTTTGTGTCTCTTTTATCAAGCTGTTAATTCTCTTTTCATAATTTTCTTGCATCACTCTCATTTGTTTTTCCAGTTTTCCTCTACCACTCATCTCTTTCCTTAACTCTTCCAGCAATTCTTGTTGGGTCTGGATCCAATTAGCATTATTCTTTGAGGCTTTGTTTTGGTAGCTGTTTTCACATTGTTGTCTTCCTCTGGGTTTTATGTCTTGGTTTTCCCTGCAACCATAATAGCTTTTTATGGCCAAATTGTTGTTTGCTTATTTTCCAGTCTATTTTTCAATTTTGAACTTTATGTTAAAGTTGGGCTCTATTCACCTGGGGGTGGGAGGCACTGTCCCAAGTTTCAGGATTTTTTTGTGCTGCTGTTTTCAGAGCTAGTTCTGGGGGGTTTGCAAGTTTTTGGTGCTTCCAAGGTGGTGTGATCCTGGGAGAGGTATGGTCACTTCTCTCCTAGTCTGTTCTCTGATTTTTACCAAGGAAGAGCCCCTGATCCTCTGCAGCCACACATGCTGGTGTTCCCCTTTGCTTTGGTGCTGTGACCTGGGCCCCTTTTCCCTTGTGATTGACCACAAGTACTCCTCTCCACCCTGAAACTGGCTATAGAGTTGCCAATCAGTGCCAGCTATACCAGTGCCAGCAAAAGGTCCCCTGTAATCTCTTTTTGAGCAGTTGTCTGACCCACTTACTGTCTCTGGGCTGAGACCTCCCAAAGCTTCTTCTTCTGCTGCTACTGCCTCTATTGTTGTTGCTTGTGTGGGCTTGGGACAAGCCTTGGCCCTGGGGTGCCACAGACTTCTGTTAACCTCTTCATTTTTCTTAGGCCAGAAAAATATCTTACTCTGACCTTTTCTTTGTTGGCCTTGCTGCCCCAAAATTTGACTTGAGGCACTTTTAAAAGTTGTTTGGAGAGTAATGTTGGGAGAGTTCAGCTGGGTGGCTGCCCCTAATCCACCATCTTGGCTCATTGATCTAGCCAGGATAATCTAACACAACAAAGACTCTTTTTCTTACTTGGCTATGGAATGAATTGGATTGAATCTAATAAAAACTGAATAGGGATAAATGTTAATAAACCTTATTCTCGGGTCCAAGAAACTTACTTCGTAAGTACAAAACAGGAACTTGGATGGATATCAGGTTGTTTCAAAAAGTTATTGGTGTGAGTGTGTGTGGGTTAGCAAACAGTAATTCTCCATATGAATCAACAGCGAGGAGATAAATACAACCAAGAAAACTAATGCAAGTATGGGGCTGTCATTAAAGAGAGCCATAGCTTCCAGAAATAAAGTGTTGGTCACACTGTACTCTGTTCTGGTCAGACCTCATCTAGACTATTGTGCCCAGTTCTAGGGACCAGAGTTAAGAAAAAAGATGCTGATAAGTTGGTGAATGTTCAGAAGAATGGATCCAGGATATTGAAGGGTCTTGAGCCCATGCCATTAAAGTATTGGATTGGGGTGGTTAGCCTAGAGAAGAGGTAGTCTGAAGTGATGGTGGGGTGGGGTGGGGCTGGTGGGACATGACGACAAATACTTGGGGTGAGTGAGACATGATAACGAATGCCGTGGAAAAGCATCCACTTTGTCCTCCATTTGGCCCTAGAAGGAACAGTGAATGCAAAGAGACCAATTTAGGTTTGAAGTCACGTAAAACTTCCTAACAATGAGAGCTGTCCAAAAGTGGAATGGACTATCTTGAGGGGCAGTGGGTTCTCACTCACTGGAGTTTTTAAGCAAAATCTAGATGACCATTGATATATTAGGTGTTGCTATAGTGAGGGTTCCTTTTCAGGCGTGGTTTGGACTTGGCAGTTTTAAAGGCTCATTTTGATTCTGAATCTATAGTATTTCGTTTGATTTGGTGAATTCTATATCCCCCTCCCCCAATAATTGGTATCCTAAATTTAAATAGCTTGAGTTGATTTAACTGAGATTCATAGAATCAGAGGATTTAAATCTAGAACAGAGACCTTAGAATTCTATCTTCTCATTTTGTGTGTGAGGAGACCCAGAGAGGGGAATTGGGTTTAAGACATCATAGTTAAGCAAGCCGCAGAACCAGGATTTAAGCTCTAGATCTTCCAACTCCAAGCCCCATGCTCTTTCAGACATGCCACGCCATTCCCAGAATGAACTTCAAGTATCCGGCAGAGTTTTGTGTGTAGCAACTAGGAAAGGAGGCCAAGGTGGAAATTTTCCAGTGGATAATCCACTGTTTGGGGGGAACACAAGTGAGAATTACTTTCTGCTTATTGGTAATCTAGGACCAATCTTGGAAGATGGACTTGATTAATGGAAAGGAGAAGTTGGCCTGAAGTAATTTGACTTGTGTAATTTGGTTCATGACAAAAAACAAAACAAAACCAGAAAAAGGCATATTTTTGTTGCACAGCAGAGAAACACGTTTACTTGTCAGTTCATGGCTTCAGTTTACAGCCCCCCCCCAAGATGGACAGAGATGGTGATGTTGGTGGTGTTGATGCTGGAGGTCAATGCCCAATGGTCTTCATTCTGGTGGGGGGCATGGTGGAGGAGGGGGACATGGAGGGGGACATTTTGGAGGACGTGGTGGTGGGCAGCATTTAGGTGGGCAAGGAGGAGGACATGGTGCTGGGCAGCATTTAGGTGGGCAAGGTTTAGGGCAAGGGGGAGGACATGGGACACATTTGGGTGGGCAGGCTGGGGTGCATTTCTCAGAGCACCGCTGCAGAAGTTTCTTCAGGCAGCTTGGTTGGCACCTGGGCTCACAACACCGGGGTTCACACTTAGGCTCACTGGGCTTATTTTTGTCTTCTTCATTCGACATGAGGTTTTCCTTCTCCAGATTCTAGAAATGAAGAAACATCAGATAGACACATGTGAGGAGGACAAATTGGAGAGACTTTGTGCAGCCCCTATCTTTTGTCTTCTCTTACATGTTGATCCCTTTCTCCTTTAGGTAAGCCTTGTTTAGTACCTTTTCTGAACTAAGAGAGGAATGAGAGACCAAGGAGGTCTCTGTAGGAAAAAAAAGACAATTTTTAGCCTCTCCCCCCTTAACATGTGCTTTCTATAATATTCTCATGCTTATGTGGATTCCTAGACTCTTGTTCTAATTTCTGTATATTAGAATGCTTGATAATCTCAGCTTAGCTCTTGGGCAACATTAATTCTGCTAGTCACTTTTTGGCACCAGCCTATTTTTAATGATAGTATATGATAATGATAGTAGCCAGTTATCTATAATTTCAAGATTTGCAAAGTGCTTTACGTCTTATCTCATTTGGTCTCCACAACCCTGTGAAACAGGTGTTATCATTATCCCTGTTTTACAGAGGGGGAAACAGAGGCACCTAGAGAGTTTGTGACTTGTCAAGTTGGATCACACAGCTAATGTCTGAGGGAGGCTTTGAACTCGGGTCTTCCTGATTCCAAGTTCAGCTCTGTCCACTATTATACCTTCTCTTGAACCTGTTTTTGGCTCATTCTTCTCATTCCCATCACCCACTTGATTCTCTTCTTTCCCTCCTATCCCCAACTCTCCAGAAATTTAATGATGAAGTAGGAGGTAGAGGGTAGGGATACCAGTTAATAGTCAACAGGAATCTAGTACTGAAATACTAACTAGGTAATTTGTCAACCACCAATGACGGGCAGGCATCCAGCAGAAAGGAGAAACTACCTTGGAGCTATGGTTTGAGGAAGAGCATAAACTTGTTCTTCCTCCAAGATTGGGACCATGCTTGACAACACTAGTTGGCCCAACCCTAGTTGAAAGCCTTGGTGGAGGCTAAATGATCACTTATTGGAAATGTTGCAGAGATAATTCTGTTAAAGTATAGGTACAGTCTCTAAGTCCTCTTCCACCTCTGATATTCTATGATTCAGTGATTCTTCTCTTAATTCAGTTACAAACATGATCATGTGAGAAAATCAGGACAGGAGGCAATTGTTTAGGGAATTCTAACTACTCTGTGATGGTGGCCATTTAAGGTCTTTTTTTGGGGGGGAGGTAGAAAATTTCACTGGTCAGAGCTAAAAGGAATTCAGTTTTTACAAAAATAAGTTTCTTTCTCCACCTATGACTGTCTTCTGTGGTTCCAAGTCATGTTGTATATAGCCAAGTTAAATTTCTTTATCAATGATAGTGATTTCTAGTCCATTCTGGATCTAAGGTGTGTCTTGGAATTAAATTCTTTCTACTTCTAACTCATATTCAGAGAAGGAAAAAAGGAAAAAGAGAAAGGAAGGAAAGAAAGAAGGAAGGGAGAAGAAAGAAAGAAAAGAAATACAAAAAAGAACCTCTAAATATTCAGTCCCATGTGACCCCAAAACTGAACAATGATAAAATGTCCCAGTTCCTAAATGGCTGAGAATCTGTGTGTTTAGTCAAAGTGGGACAACATAACCTGTTACTCAAAACAAAAACAAAAAAACCAAAAAAGTCAAAAGCATTTCAACCAAAGCCTAAATCATCTGAAATATATTCAGTACCAAATATCATTTTTTTTCTGGAATACTGGACCCCAAACCCAGAAAAGAAATCTAATCTGCATGATTATTTCCAATTGTCAAAATCTAACTTACTGTGGTTTGGTGGTAACCGAACTTGACAAGAAGTTGAGTGGATAGATGAAAAGTCTGGCTGTGCCTGGGCTGATGACTTTGCCCTCTGAATCCTCTACCCAGTCATGCAGAAAGATATTGGCCTTCAATTGTGACATCATCACTGGCATCATCAGTGGACAACTATTGGATAAAGCCAGAGTTACCTGGCTCAGCTCGGACCCTTGACTTGACTGGAGTTTATGTTCCAAGGAAGCAAAACATAAAGACCAAGCTGTTTGGTGTATTTGTGTACGTGTGGATCTACCCATGGAGCATGTGCACATTGGTATAGGGAACTCATAGATGAGAGAACTCTTGCCAATTCAGGTTGGCATCTTATCAGTAATTTTTGGGGCAAGTGCTAGTGATCATGGGTTTATCCTTTGGTCACTATTTCCTATTTCTGCTTGGTCAGGAAAAGAAGGGAGAGGAGATGGGGTTTAGGATTATAGCATTTTCATGTTTAAAAGTACTTTGGAGGCCAGTTCAGTCCAACCACTTCATTTTCAAATGAGAAAATGGAGACCCAGAGACATGAAGAAATCAGCCCAATATTACAGGGATTATAAAGTAGTAGAGCCAGGCCTGACTCCAAGCATGCTCTTCTTTTCACATAAGGTCCTTCGAAGTAGAGTTGGGATAAAGACAGCTTGGAACCAGGAGACTGGGATGAAGAAGCCTGTTTATAAACTGGGAATCTTTTCTTATGGAGATGCAGAATAGCATAGGAATAGAGTGCTGGACCTGGAATCAGGAAGACCCGAGTTCAAATGCTGTCTGGGACACACACATTAGTTATGTGGCTGTGGGCAAGTCAGCTAACCTCAGTGTTTAGTTTCATTTGTAAAATATTTTCTATAGTTCCTCTCTCCCAGGATTGTCATGGGGCTCAAACAAGATAACACATGTAAAGTATTTTTGGAATCTTCAAAGTGCTAAATATAAGCCAGTTTTTGTTGTCCTTTTGTGGAGTTAGAGTTATTTCTCCTTATTCTACTCTGGACCTACTTTTGGTGGTGCTAACTCTCTCCTTGTCTTTTCATACATTCTTCACCTATCTTTTTTTTTTTTTTTTTAGTGAGGCAATCGGGGTTCAAGTGACTTGCCCAAGGTCACACAGCTAGTACGTGTCAAGTGTTTGGTCTGAGGCCAGATTTGAACTCAGGTCCTCCTGACTTCAGGGCCGGTGCTCTATCCACTGTGCCACCTAGCTGTCCCCACCTATCTTTTTGAATCCTAATTCTCTATGTTCTTACTTTTGGTACCCCTCTCCACCCTGCCCAGTAAATAGCACCAAGAAAGTCAAACGAGCAGGAATCAGGTCATAAAACAATTTTTTTTGAATTTTGAGAAAATGGATTGTAAGCCTGCCTCGAACACTTACTAGTTGAGAGACTTTGGACCAATTTCCTCATCTGTAAAAACGAAGAGATTAGATTGTAGATAGCCTCTAAGATTCTTTCCAGCTTTTAAACTTTGACCCTATGATCTCTAAGTGTTCATGGTGTGGTGTATGTGTGTGTGTTTGTGTGTTTGCATGTGCATGTGTGCATGTAACAACTCCCTAGCCATGCAGAGGAACAGTCCCTAGATGAGAAGGGGGAATCAAAATAACAGAATGCCAAGAAATGTCAGGGAAGGAGCTTATGGGAGAGTTTTAAACTCATTTAGGATATTTCCCTTGTCAGACTTTCGAAACCACATTTTCTCCCTCCAAAATTTGATCCTTTTTTGGGGGGGAATATAAAAAGGACAGTGGGGAAGAATCAAGTTCCTTTTACCATTCTTGTGTTGGGAGATAGGGATGGGGCTGGGGAGGGTATTAGAAAGATGGAGTAGGAATTTTGTGGGGTAGGAGCATGGAGTTAATAATTTGTAGAAATGGCCCTACAGTGGCCACAACAGAAATGCAGAACAGAAGAAGGAAGGAGTGTGCTCTAGCCAAGGGTGATAAAAAAAAAAGCATGCTGTGTCTGTCCAGTCACAGCCTGTCTCCTGGAATTGGGGAAAACTATAGATACGGTTAGGGTGAACAAATGGATAAAGTGAAACAAAGCCAGGTGGGCAGAGATTTCTTGTTAGATCTGGTAAGTATTTGCCTCTTCAGGAGGAAATATTTGCTTTTATTCAAGAATATAGAATTTCCTGGGGTGGGGCACAGCTTCACTTTGTGGTTTGGGGTGGAGTACATAGTTTCAGAAGATGTGACCTCTTTAGGGGCGGATATTTCTGCTCAAGTGGGAGTGGCTATGCAGATGAGCACTTCTGTGGGTTAAGTGGTGGTGGGCACTGCTCTGGGAGCATGAGTGGACAGTATTCTGAGAGATTTGGAGGTGGCTGGCAGGGAGGTTTGTACTGATACTGCTTTTACTGTTAGTGGTAGGGCATCTTCCTTGACTCTTAGTAGATTAGCAAGAAACCAAAGAAAAATACAGTTTGAAGGAGGATCTTAGGCCATAGTGTGATAGAAGTGCCCCCAAAGCTAACGTGGTTTGGATGTACTATTTACAACAAGGAAAATGGAGTTGCACTGTATTGTGCCTTGGTCAGATACACATGGAGTATTATATCCAGTTCTGGGCATCACATTTTAGAAAAGGGACGTTGACAAAACAGTCTCTCTTGGCCTAAACAGGAACTTGCCAGGGCTGTAGAGGACTCTCTGTGGACTTACATGGAGAAGACACACTTATTTGTCTCTTACAAACCCAGAGATGGCAGTGACCATAAAGATGGACTCTGCTGGAGACTTTTAATCCAGCCCCAGGTTGGCAGAATCAGCAAAATGTCCCTATCATTTTTCTGCTAAGGGTGTTCCAGCTTTGGTTCCTGAAATGACTTGCCAAATTCATTCTTTAGATGGAAAATTCCAGTTTGGCAACTATCCAGTGACTAATGATGCTTACCTCTCTCCTTAAGTGACTGACTGTTCTGATACATACATATGCACAGATTTATGTTTTATAGAAACTCTCTCCTTCTGAAATGTCAATGGTGCCTTGTGTGAACTTTGTGTTGTTCTTGGGGGACAACTTGAAAAGGCTGGCGTGGTAGAGGACCTTGTGATGCCCAGGAAATGGAGTTGGGTGGGGAGAGCTTATGGGCTTTTGATGCATAGGAATGAGCTTCAGGCCCATTTTTAGCACCTGCTGGTTAAATATGACATCCTCTCCCTCATCCTGAGTACCGGGATGAGGTCCAGCAGCATTCCTTCTTTAT